GAATCAAGGCCATGGTCATAAAAAACCCTCCACACTGGAGGCTGTGGGGGGTTCGGATACACTGCTGGCACAGCGCATCAATCACACCAGTTTAAAGATAACCTCTGCGCCAATCTGACCTTGAACAGCACATCATTATTCAAAAAATATACGACACTGCGCTTTAATGTGGGGAGGTTTGGCTCAATAACAGCACGCGCTGGTGCCAGAATGTAATGCGCCAGCAAAAAAAAAAGTAAGCAGTTTATGTCCATAGTTTCTCTGTAGATGCAGCAGTGACCAAAACACTACTCCCATCTCAGTTATGAGACAGAGTAGTCTCTATTAAGGTCAAAACTCATGGGGCATGAAGGGGGGGAAAAAGTAAAAATAATCAGGAACATCTGTCACTGCAGAATCAAATCTGTGTTAGTTAATCACTTGTGCAGTTGTTTGTTCTTCCAGATGTTCCCAATGTAAGTGCTCCCTCTGCACATGCACCAGAGCTCGTTTTACTGTCACCGCCACAGACGCATTAAAAAGGTGCTGCTGCATGACTGCACCATGTGCAGTGCAGCAGTGGGATCGGCTGCACATCGTCCAAAGGGAGGAGCCTCTCCGCCATCTAGTGGTGAAAACGTGTTGCTAGAGTTTTAGTCGAGAAAGAAGCTCAGTGCTGGTTCACTCACTAACTGAAGTGCAGTGTTGAGGAGGGGAATTAAGCTGCGTAAGGGATTGAAACGCTTTCTCCTTAAGTGGAAGACTTCAAGGAGTTTTGTTCATGAGGGATGGGAGGATGGAGAGGAGATTGATCAAAAGATTTGGGCCTCTTCCTCAATAACGATGGAGTTGTTTCAGTCTACCATGGTGAAGCAATGTTTGATTTAGTGGTCTGTCTTTTTAAAACCTCACCAAGGGTCATGAGGTATGGATCATGACTAAAAGGAGAAAATATATAAACTTAGCCTAAAAAGTAAGGAAATTTGTGTTTGGTAGATTCTTGTTTTTGTTGTAACAATTGCAATAAATCTTATACCACTGGAAATAATTTCCTTTTATAAGAAGACATGAATTTACATCCCTTTTCACATTTAAATCATACAGTTTGGGTCTATAGAAGAACTCTGCAACATTGCGTGTGGGGTTCCTCAGGGTTCTGTACTTGGACCAAAGTTATTTCTTCTGTATTTGAATGATTTAGTAAATGTGTCAGGGCTTCTTAAATGTGTATTGTTTGCAGATGATACTACATTTTTCTGTTTAGGAAAATATATAGAAGAAATGATGGGGATGATGCAAACAGAATTTGTTAAAATACAAACTTGTTTAAACTAAATAAATGATCATTACATTTGAATCAAACAAATTATATGATATTCAGTAATAGAAAGAGAGATATTGATTTTCCTTTTCGAGTTGATGGTGTTGAGATCTGTTGAGTCAATGAGATAAAGTTTTTGGGTGTTATTATTGATGAAAAGCTAACATGGAAATCTCATATACATCACTTAAGAACAAAAATAGCCAACTCCATTGCAGTATTATATAAAGTAAGGGACTTATTTAATGACAAAGCTTTGTTTACSTTATATAATGCAATAATTGTTCCACACTTGATTTATTGTATTGAAGTCTGGGGAAAAGCAYGTAAACAATTACAAATCCCATCTTTATTTTACAGAAAAGAGCCGTAAAAATTATCACCAGAAAACATTACTGTCACCCATCAAATTCATTGTTGCATCAGTTAAAATTATTGAAATTTTATGAGTTAATTGATCATATTTTGCAGGTAATGTATAAAGCTCATAAAAATGTATTACCTCTAAATATTCAATTAAATTTTGTTAAGAGAGTAAGTAATTATAACCTTAAGGGTATAGAGATGCTTGTAAAGCTCAAAATTTGAACAAATTTGAAGGACCGATGTAC